GTATTTTCGAGCGCTTTTCGGGACATTTTTTCGTAAAGTTTTCTTAGAATAAGATTGTAATGGCAAAAAAGATCCTTGTACCGTGTTTGGATGTAATAATGATCGCCTTGTTCTCGTTTAGTATTAGAAATATAATCTTTCACTGTAAATTTCTCGGAAAATAGGCGATCATTATTACATCCAAACACGGCACAAATATCTTTTTTCCCATTACAATCTTATTCTAAGAACACTTTAAGAAAAAATGTCCCGAAAAGCGCTCGAAAATACAAACGAAATGTGCTCATGCCCCCTGGGCATCCTATAATACTCCTTAAATCGAATTAATTCAATATGGCCTACGTATCGGTAAAAAGGTCTATTCGTCAAACAATGAACATAAGCATTGAAAAAACAAACATTAGTATTGAAAATTACCTTGGGCAGGTAAAACCTCAAAGAACAGTAAAAAACATCGAATTTAATTTTCTTCCTTTTTAATCAATGCTAAGTCATAAAAGTTCATACTTTTGGTACTTTGCAAATGCTCTAGTTAAATTGAACTTATGTAATTTGATGACCAGGAAACATCTTGGTGACAGTGTTCAAATAAAGGAAGGCAAAAGTGGTTACGTTTGCTATTAATGTTGCAGTCCGACAGGCACGATTGTTAGGGGGAAAATGTAGATTTCACTGGGTTTTCAATTTATTTCATAGCACGTGGACTACAAAATTATAAAATAGGATTCCAACTGTTTTGAATAAGTTTTTATTTAAGTCTGTGCGAACAGGAATCTTTATTCTCTGTGCAAACATTGTAACCGAGATTGTTTATAATTATTGGAACAGTGTGTCTTTGGAAATTTCTGTACGCATATTATATGTACCTTCGAAATTGAATTTTCTAGAAATAGATATATAGCTTAGTCACTGGATAAGTGGCCTGCGATCATGCCCCCTCCCTTTATCTCTGTAATCTGTTTTCGGGAGAAGGGCATGAAACATTTCTTTCACAGATCACATGAAAAAAAGCCAGAAAATGGACTTTTTTCTGATTGGATAGGAAACAATTCGGATGATTTGCGCTGTTCCGATCGGCCAAAACGCCGCCATCCGTTAGTTGTTGTTGATTTCAGTCTGCATTTTTGCTTGCGTTATAATAAGCAGTGAATACACACGCGAGTTCGTTATGAAATTTCCGGCCAACTCAGTTTTCTTGAATTCGAAGAATGTCTAAACAGAAATTTCATTCATTGAAATATTTTCCATTTCATCGTATGCTAAACATCGCTAGACTGCAAAAGAGTCCGTACGTTTGCGTATTCAAGTACACTGTACGCACGAACAGTTAAACAAAAGCTGAGAACGGAGAGCGAGACTGGGGAGAGACGCTAAAAATACGGACTGTCCGTTTTGAATATTAAAGATATATTCGTTCGAATTGCCCGCTTCTCCCAGCCACGGGCAATTCCCATTCGCTAAATTTTGATGCAAGCTCTTAGCAAACTGTCAAGTTATGTTTGCAACAAGTCATTTGTGATGTTCCCTACCGTGATGAATTCATTGTCCGTTGGCGTGTTCAGTTGCGAAAGAATCGCAGCGCAGTTTCCACCTTTGTGGAGAAAGATTCTCCTTCATCGAGGACAACGAAAAGTTCGTTTATCAGAAGGTCGGCCAATTTTGGTAACGTTTCACCTTTTTCTAGTACTACTAGGGGCAACAAATATATTTTCAGAGCTTATCCGTCCACGCTAAAACTTGCCGAACTGTGTTTTGACAGGGGCACCCAACGAGAATATGGTTCAAAACCACTTAAACATAGCATTGTTAAACGTATTTTAGTATTTAAACGGTAGATATAGGCATACTTTTATCCCCGAAAAATTTTTCATCTATTCGGATTTCCTAGCTGAAAGTCTAGTGATCCGAAAATTCCACCTTTTCGAAAATTTCAGCCAGAAAAAAGGCCCCCGAAAATTCTAGGCAACCTTTTTAGGATAAAAATCCGTTAAAAATGGGCAATAAGTCCATTTTTTAGATGTTCGAAAATCCTAAGAGAGGCAGGCTAGCAATAAATTTTACAACATATGTTCCTAAAATTCTAGATCTCATATTGTCTTCCGAACAGATATTTTCCGAAAATTGACGTTGGGTGCCCCTTGTTTTGAATGAACAGCTGCACATTCTACAATTATCTGAAGCGCTCGGCTCGGCTCTCCCTCTTCGAGAAGCAGGAACAGGCTTTGTCGGCGTACTGCCACTTCCATCCACTCATTTTTGATCTAACAGAAAACACTACATCGTACACGGAAACAACGCTCAAGACTGCATTCGCTATTCTCTTGCGAAATCAATCACCGGATGTATCAAATTTACAAAGAGGACGGAGTTGTAAATAGATTTTTGACAGCTCGAAGACATTTTTGAACCTCCTGGTCAGAACGAACTCATTATATGAAAAACGGACAGTCGGTTTTTTTTCTCTCGCCTCACCTGCCCTACGTATTCGGGCATGTGAGGCTCACGGGCTTGCTCTTACGCTGTTCCTACCCTACTCTAAACCAATTTTGGGAAAAAAAAAATCTGACTGTTTTGCAGTCTAAAACATGACAAACATTGCAGTCAAAAATTCACCGATCATTTGAATGCAATTTGATACCGGTGGAAGTTACAACCTCATTCCCAGGGTTCTCTCCTCCGTAGGGCGGGTAGGAGAGAACCCTGGGAACGAGGTTGTACAAGTTATAGAAGCGACAAACGGGTTCTCTATTCAAATAATCAATTCATGAATGGAATCTTAACCTGGTTTGACTCTAATTCCTCCTTCAGAAACCTGAGAATTATTCTGAGCGATCTTCGCTTTCACAACATGGCGCAGGACAAAATCAACGAGCTTTTACCCTTTTACCAGTAAATTCTTTATCATTTGTATATGTAGCTGTTAAATAAAGGTACGACAGCTCCAGCTAGCAGTATTTCATCACAAAAAAAAAAAACATTTAAAACTTTTTTTTAGGAAGCGTCATCTGAACGTACTTAAAAATTTTCTTTTCCCTAAAATTGATTTCGAAAGAGACATAATTCCCGCCAAAATTTGATTCCCGTGCCGTAAACGCTGATTGGCTAATAACATGAAAGGTCAAGCAAACGTTAGATTATGTAAATTAGGGGGCGGTTGATGGCTTGTTCAATGAATGTATCAGGCGTTATTTTTTTCCCTCTCGAACCAAAGAAGCAAAGAAGCCAAAAAAAAAAAAAATAATAATAATAGTGCCTGATCTCAGGTTACTGGATAACTAGATCTTTCGCCTGTTCAAATACCAACCGTTCGTAGTCTTTAGTTTTGACATTTTTGGGAATCCTGAGCAAAGGAAACTCGAATTCTTTTACACAACTTTCTTTATAGGTTTCCTAAATTCACTTGCTTGACTGACATTTAATTTTGGGTTATTTAGTTTAACATATAAACTTTGAAACTGAATTTATCCACATTTGTTTTCGGTGTTCAGCTGATTTTATTCAGCCTTCTTTCCATTTGTTTTGTGATGTTGTAATAAGTTGATCGGTTAGTATAAATAGAGCACTGTTATTCCTGTTTTCGTTTTACATTGCGGATTTACTTGACTGTATGATTTGCGTTCACGAGCTGAAGATTAAACTGTTGAAGTCCAAGTTTGAGTCCTGTCCTGCTTCCAGTTGTAGCAGATCCTAGCACCTTGGAAGGAATAGTGACGAGTTCCTTTCCCGCTAGCCAAGCGAGTTGGAGAGTTAGTTTTCCCCTTGTTGTTCTTACACCGAAGTCGCTCGAGTTCTCTTAACCCTTATTTCCCCGATTTGTGCTTGGAACAGCAAAACCAATCGTCACAACGTTACTACTCGCCCACAAATCTGAGTAAAATTATCCCAAGTACGTGGTGTGGGAGAGACAGGTTAAATTTAACCAAAACTAACAGATATAACTTAAAAAAAAAAAAAAGGTTTTAACAGTAAGATTCTCGGCTTTTGGCGCTGCTAGATTGTCCTGTATCATTGAACCGAAGGGCCTGACAAAACGAAACGATTTTAAAAGAAAAATCTGATCGGTCAATTTCAATTCAGTCGTAAAAGGTAAACTTCCGCCCGGTCTTGTTATCTTCCGAAAGACATTTATTAAAAAATAAACTTTTTTAAACCAAGATAAAGTGGCCTCTCCGAAAAAAATTTTCAAATTCCTAAGTTCTTCCAAACATGGCCCCTTCAAATAAATGTAAATAGCCTGTAAATAACAAATTTTAAAACATTCAGGTAAAATAAATTAACATTCACATTCAGAAAACGTGTTGCAAAAAGAGGCTGAAGTTGGCACTGTTTGTTTAAAAAATCTGACAAAATAGAATGAAAATCAAGAAAACAAAAACACTGGAAACTTATTTTGATTTATTATGTGACATGATCTTTGATACAATAACATCCAGGTCATGAAAATCAAATATAGCCAATAAAATAATGTCTAAGTGCTAATATAAGCTGGATTCATGCGCCTTTATGACATGTCTTCTACAAAGTAATTTGTAACCACTAAAAGCATTTATAGATCTGAAGACGATATCAGCGAAAGGAATATATTTCTCGCCTGATTAGTTTCCTGAAGGTGTGAATTTCATTTTGTCTCATACTAAAAAATATTTACTTTGCAAATTTTGCAAAGGAAAAAGGTGTCATTGGTGTGTATTCTACTGGATAAAAAGTATACCACCTTTTAAAGAAGACCACCTCACTCTTAATAACCAGGCGTTTAGAAAACTTACTAGTGCAAATATAGGGCACACTAAATATAAAATATTCAGTTTAGGGCTCTGCCTATATTTTCAGTGTTTGACCGACAATCCAAATCTCAAAGCTAGTTCACGTTGTTAACTTGAAGGAGCTTAGCCATTCTAAGCCACCTTTTAATTTTCTCTTTTTACAGGTGGACTATCATCTTCAGTTCCAAACTGTCATAAGTCTCCGGCAGCGCCTCTCTGTAAGGATTGTTGATTATCATGCCCTACACTTCAAATGTTTCACTCAGTGCGCTGTGCAATGCATCTTATCAGGACAATTCATCAAACAATGAACCAGACCAGACAGAAGATAATCCAGCTCAGGTTCTTTCTACATTGATGATTGTGTTGTTAACCATCGCCGGTCTACTGATCATTGCAATCAATGGCCTGGTGATCTACTTAATCTACGTTAAGAAAGCTCTTCGGTCGCCAACAAATTTGTTTCTCACTTCTCTGGCATTTTTGGACTTCATTACAGGATTCGTGGGAGTCCCTCTTGTTGTACATTGCCTGGCTAAGGAGGTTCTATCAGTGTGCGTTTTTTCGACGATCTTCATTCGATTCGCTGCTATTTCGTCAGTTTGCCATATCATTCTCATAGCTTTTGATCGTTATATCGCCATAGTGCATCCCTTGCAACATGGCTCCCTTGTAACAAAATGGCGAGCAGTTGGTGCTACTTTATTTGTGTGGCTGATGTCATTTGGAGCGTCTATTATTCAGCTGTCGTGGTACACTCTGGATGAGAATACTTTGAAGGAATATGCCGAGGAAACAGCAACTTCCGATTTGAAGTACATAAAAGCTTGCATCGTTGTGTTTTTCGCAATTCCTCTGTTGATGATATGCTACATGTACGGGCACATATTTTACATTTCATTTAAGAGTATGAAAACTGACCGCGTCCGAAAAAGTTCCTTGCGGCAGCCACACCGACCTCTTCTTTACGAATGGCGAGGCCGCAGTGTTTTGCTGATCATGGTTGTGATATTCGCCGGGTGTTGGTTGCCATTTTTTTTGGCCATGTTACAGGACCACAAGCCATCCCTTGAGTTCTCTCTGAATTCAGTCTGGGTGCAGCGTTTGCTTGTGGCCCTGACTTTCGTACCACCGCTGTTAAATCCCGTCTTATGCACGTTGGCCAAGAAGGATTTCCGTCGCTCATTAATGGAAGTGGCCTTCAGAGAGAGGCTTCATCGACAACGTGAGGAAAGAGCATATTTTCAAAAATCAAGTGTGAACAATGCGTAATTTCGATGGACCCTGTTAAATACAGAAAATTTGTTTACGTCATGCAACAAGTCACTTATTAGTATTTTAAAATTATTCATCTTCAAGTTAAATTAATACTGATTTAAAATGTTTGTACAATTGTTTTTTTAACAGGATTTAATGGATCCGAAACCACTTGTGGAATTGCACACATTTTAGGCATCCTATAGTGAATGAACAGTTACTAAAGAAGAATGATCAGCAACAACAGTTTGCATTGTTTGCCCGCTTCGAATTTAAGGTGCATGACTCTGAGCTGCAACTTCATTAAGTTTGCAGTTTCTACAAAAGCATTAATTTACAACACCTTGAGACAAGATCTCTTTAAGATTTTCTTGTGATCTCTTGTGCAAGTAGAAGTAGCCTCACGAACTACACATGATTTGAATTTTTCTTCACTGCTAGAAGAACGTTAAAAAATCATTCTTATCCTCTCATGATCGAACATAAGCATTTTTAGTCATTTAATAGTCTTTTTTCTCATAATTTTAATAACACATTGATGAAAAACGTACACTACCCATGCACAAGAGAGTAGTGTCTACAACAAACCTAGTTGAACTTGAAATACTACAATTCACACTTAAGATAAAAATGTACCATAAAATTCCCAAAATAAGCCCCTCCAAATATAAGCCCCCTAAACCGGACCAACCCTGAGGCGTCTTGATCAATAGGTTGAATAAATTACGAAATAGTCGATATTGACTCAACAATGAGTTCAACAAGTCTGTGATAAAAAAAGAAAGAAGTATAACATAGAATATTGGCGGCCAGAGGTAAAGTGATATTTCGGACCAACCATGAGGCGTCTTTACCGTGCCCTAAATTGTACGTTAAGACACGACGAGGAAATGCACGGCGTTTCAGAATAGTTTCACTTTATTGAGAAAAGCTTTCCCGTGACAGTTTTAGCACTCAGTTACGCTCTCCAAACTAGCCTTAGTATCAGACCTTCCTTAGCTTTTACCGAAGAGCAGATTTTAATGACAGGTCAAAGCGGTGAAGGGTTGCCGTTTTCCGTTTTCGCTTTCTCTCCCCCCCCCCCCCCCCCCCCCCCCCACCACCCCCCCACCCACCCACCCCCCACCCAAACACACAATCACCCCCCCCCTCCCTCTTTTCTCTTTTTTTTCTTTTTTTGTTTTTTTTTTCATTTTTTTTTTGTTGTTTCTTCATTGAACGTTATATTTTTTTTTTATAAAAATA